TCCTTCCACTTGACCGCATCCAGCGCAGAGCGGCTCCAATCGTCAACGACCGAGCCCTTTCCGATCGGCTCGATTCATTGGCACTGCGAAGAGATGTTGCATCTCTTTGCATTTTCTTTCGCATCTACCATGGGGAGTGCTCTGAGGAATTGTTCGGATTAATCCCAGCCGCCAAATTTCATGAACGCACATCGCGGCAGAACTCCCGATACCATCCACATCATCTGGATGATTGGCGGTCCACCACTGTGCGATTTAGAAGATGTTTTCTTCCTTGCACGACTTCCTTGTGGAATCGATTACCATCAGCGATTTTTCCGGACCGATACGACTTAGGGACCTTCAAGAAAAGAGCCTACTCCTTTTTAAAAGGCCGGCAACGCAAATGCAATTCCCCTGGTGTTGCGGTTGTTCATGGGCGGCGGTTGTTCATGGGCGGCGGTAGTCACTTACTATCAGGTGAGCCGCATGATCGTTTGCCCCCTCTCCTATAAAAAAAAGTTGTTAACATGATGCATGCGTCAAATGTATTTCCTTATTTTTTTTAAGGCATACTTTACATATACTACGATACCATCGTTTTGGTTCAGCCTGCACTCAGTAAAATAGGAGAAATATTTGGGCAGAACAGGCAGAGGCTTGTTAGAATTAAGTCTGCACTCCGTCAGTGCAATGACATCAGTATTGAAGTTGAAGCTAGACAAAGTCAATACAAGATCATCAATGTTACAATATATATTCCTTATATTTTGAGATATCATAGTAAAGTCATTCTTCTTTACATTTGCACGCTAAACTCCTCCACCTCACATTCAGAAGACCGTGTCAGCTCTATTCTGCCTATTTCTTGAATCGTGGTCATTATATTACTCATAACCACTCAATCGTCCACGGTGACTACAGTCCCCAAAAACCATTATTGCCTTACTTGTCTAGGCACCAAACGACATCTTTCGTTTTTAACGCGGACAGCGCAAAAGATAGCTGTAATTAATACAATAAAAAATTATAGATGGTGCTATATAAAATTTGTCGTCTGTGAAAGTAAATTTTATCCGTATAATAGTAACGAAATATTTAAGAAAAAAAAAAGTTAAAATTAAATTTCCCCATTTTTGTTTGTGGAATGTCAACGTGTGAGAAATTCTATCAAAAATGTGATAACTTTTCTGTTTTTATACGTTATTTCTAATGTTATTGTACATCAAACTAATTGTGAAGATATTATCTTTAGTAAATATGTATCACTACGACAATTCCAAAACGTTTACATATGATAATTTAGCTCTAAATTTTAATCACTATACGCGATCATTGTTTATGGATTATAATATGTTGTTTAAAATGTATTCTAATCAGTTTTTTTGTGTTAAATGAATGCAAAATATAAAATAATGATTCCCTATTAACACGTTGATAGCAATTTATAAACAAAATATCTGTTGAGATGTGGCTAGAAGTTATTAAAACCTATTTTTTTTCATTTATTTACTTATTTATTCAAATTTATATTGGGTAAACATTATATACTTATGTATATTGAGTACATAACATGTTATTGATATTGATGTTATTTTAAAGGGAATATCATGTACTATTATAATATAAAATAATTGTCTCCAGCAAGTATTACACTTTTCTTGTAAAACTCGAAATAAAAAATAATTACGATTTTTTTTGATATTCCCATTTTTAAGCTTTATTTCTAGGCTTTATTTTTAATTTGACTAATTTTCTTTTAACACAATAAATTTTTTAATTCTTTGAGTCTTTTGAGAATATTTTTATTTGAATGTAGCTATAGTAGTTTTTCAGTAGTAATCGTTTTTGTTAAGACTGTCTCGCGCGGTCGTAAAAAATAGTGACATTTAATTCGCGGACAGGTCAGGCGAGAATCATTCGCGCGGGGCGGACGGTCGAGTGGATAAGAAAAGAAAAATAGGCAAAAATACGTCAATTCGCAAAGGCTCGGGTATGTGATTGTAGGTGACATATAATAATAATATGTATACTTTGTAAAGCTTACAGTTGAATTTTCTTTTTTGTGACTTAGGAATAAAAAATAAATAAAACTATACTTACCATTCCAAAATCATACCACGTTTACGTTTCAGATTTGTTTCCCATGCGCCGGGGTCTTTGCGTCACGCGTCTAGAGTATCTATACGTTTCATTTTTCGGCGTTTTTGTTTTGAATTAAGTATAATTATAATTCAAAAATATTTCTATGATCATGATATCGTCTCTATCAGAACGACCGGTATAGTAAAACATCACATGAAAATTAAAAAGACCACCAATGATTCAAGTCGGTCGACCTGCGGATAAAATTATGGTATTTCTGCGTAGTACCTATAGTGGCATAGTACAATATAAAAGTTGCACCAAGACTGAAACACCCCAACACGAGGAACTTAATTACTCTCTGGGGCTGTTTCAACACTAATTAATGAGAAAGTGTTATTGAGAAATATTTTTTTTATTAATTTATTATTTATTACGATACTACATAATACATCCTATGAATAATTATTATACTTCGAAATCCAGCTCTGGTTACGTCGTCAACCAATGCAACAGTGGCTCATGTACCTAGTTCGTATGTGTTATGACAGGTGATGGTACTTTTACTTGTATGAAAAAAGTATAATAAGACAATGATCATTTTTGAATTTGATTGCTTTAAGTAAGATCATAAGTTGTAAAATTTACGGTTCTAATTTCACGCTAAAATTGGGATTTATTTTGGTAATTACTTACTATTTTTTGGCAACATAAAGTGATTTCTACTGTTACATTTTACTAGATGTGGTGGTAAGTTAAACATATGCCTTATTTTGTTACTCGATTGGGGTCTCGTATTTACACTGTTCCCTTTAAGCGTACTGAATTAAAGTTTTAAAAATTTAACTTGTTTTCAGCTTTAATCTCATTTTTACTTCAAGTTGTTAATCGGAAATAATAACTATGTAGAGTGAAGCAATATCTTTAATATCAAAAATTTTCGATGTAGTAAGGAGCCTTCTGCCTAGGAGTCCGACTGGCTTGGATGGTTCATGTCGGACTAGCACCGACTAAATCCCCATGGGCATTCTACCTTTGAAGCATATCGGCTGGACACCGCAAACGCTTCCGCATACATTTTCATCCCCACCAGGTAGCTCGAGAGAGTACAATTCCTACCACTATTTTTCCTCCGGTAAGGTGTGAACAGAACAGAAGCACGCCTTTCTGAACGGCATCTAAACAATGGACCGCAACGGAGCCGGCTGTGAAGGGTAGAGAGAGTGGCGCATCATAATAACGATACTTCTCTACCCCCATGGCCCCACCACTACCACATCAGAGTTGTGGCGCCACCAGAGTCAATAAGGACATAGTGAGTGGCGCATCGCCATATGAGCACTTTCCGCCTCAAATCCATCTCGTCTGCGGTGGTAGCCAAAATAGATTCACCAACACACATCCGGTCACCTCCTCAGTGGTCACCTAGTGATCTCACCTATTTTTACTGATAAGAGCAGAGCTTACATCGTTAATAGCAGTTTTTTTGGTGATGATCTTCTTACGTGTTTGTTAGTGAATAACATCATTGGTTTAATCTAAATGTAATAAAATACATTCGTTTTTCGAGAACATGTGAAGTCTGTATAATTGCATTGTCTGTATAAAAGCAGCTGGACAAATCTTTCTCGTTACATTTTGTGTATGAAATAACATTTCCTTATAAATAAAAGGAGACTTATGGAATGGTACGTATATTTGAAGGCCTTAATTTGGTTATTAGTTTTATAAATTTTGTAAAAAACAATATGAAAAAAGTTTCTCCAGAGTCAGTGAAAGTTGTCCTAAAAATATTTTTACTGTACATAACATTATAATTTTCCATTCCTGAAACATTTCTTCTAAAGTCATTTTTAGTTAAAATTTAGACCATTGTTTTAAGTAGCGTTGATACTTTTTTAATGTCATATTTTAAACTAATAACTAATGGGTCATCTACATGGTTATAGATATTACGGACATAATATCACACATATTCATTTAGTCATAATAGTCCACTAAAGTCCTCAAATGAACATAGATAAGTCTCCCCTAAAAACCCTCGTAATGAGGCAATTACGAAGGAGGATTTTACCATAGTTATGACGGCTGGTAGGTGGGTTGGCAACCGCAGATTTAATTATTTTTAAGTTGTTATTAGGAAGATGCTGCTGCCAATATTCTGCTTCAGTTTCTTTCTGTTGCTTCTTACTACACCCACGAAACGATTTGTGGTAGTGGGTTTTTTCGGCGTTTTTGTTTTCAATTAAATAAAATTGCATTACGATATCATGTTCATAGCAAATTCATAAATATTGCTATGAACATGATATCGTCTTTATCAGAATGACTGGGATAGTAAAAAATCACATGAAGAATTACCGCCTACCCTGTGGTTATCTGATTTGGTGTTGCCCAACATACAGTATTAAAGTTAAGCACCAAGGTAAGATTGAAACACCCCAACATGAGGAAATTAACTACTCTCTGGGGTTATTTCACCGCTAATTAATAAAATGGTATTATTGAAAAATAAATGTTACCTATTGTTTATTTTATTTGTTACGATATTTACACCGCCCCCACTTAGCTAGCCCGTACTTATACTTATACATATTATGATAAGAGAAGTCATCAGTTCAACATTTCCTGTAGTTTTTGTAGAGGCGAATTAGGTTAATAGCCTGGAATATCTTGTGTCCTTCGGTAGATCGCGGTATAACAATCTCGTATTAATAACACCTGGTGTTAAATACTCTAAACGGTGACCGGTGACGGTCAGCATCGAAAAAAATACAAGAAATTTAATAACTCAATTGCATATCATAAGCGGATAATTTTAGCAGTAACAACAAATCCCTGCGCAATGAAAGAGGCATACCCTTAGCAATGAACTGTTGAGAGTTGATAAAGAAGAAGATAAATAAGTTGTAATAAGGCATAAATAAAAGAAAAATATACGAAAACAATTATTCGACAGGTCCGATACATTTTAATACTAAGTACAAGTTTAACATTATAGTGATAACGTTCCAATGAACTCTAGAAATCTTACAGTATTTTTAAAATACAGATCAGATATATGTTAACTTATTAGTTCATCTCTTATATCATTATATATTTTACTTTATTATCACTACTTTTTACAGCGTATTTTACACATTTACATAACTTATGACTATGTTAAAATTAAATCCATATAAATTAAACTTTTTAATAAAACACAAAACTTTTTTTTTTCATACTTTGTCTAAATTGAACCTATATTACACAAGTATTTTCGAATTTGTCTAACCTAATTAATATTTGACTTCCACATATCTCAGAAATTTCACACTCAATTATTACTGAGTCACTCGATAAATTATTTAAATGAAATTTTTTAGGCTCAAAAAATATATAAAAGATACTTATACATGCATGGGCTACTTCGGCAATATTGTTATTCGTACAATTACGTACTACTTGTATTAAGTATCATTATGTTAGATAATAAGATTTAAGCATGATGTCATTATGCTAATCTATTAAAAAAACTAAAAGTTTAAAATAGTGCTGTTCTTCGCATATATTACCAAGAATGTTAGCTGCGTTTCTTAACTGACTTCTTTGGATGACAAGAGAACCAAGAACTAAGAATTTATTCTTTATTGATTTTTTAATCAGATTTATTAGTATGCGATTTTGCTTTATTTGTTATTGTATTTAAATCCATTTCTGTGGTTTGAGCATCAGGATTAGATGTAGAAAAATTATCATATGAAATATATTGTGGAGTTTGTTGGACTTCTGATTTAATTATAACTGGACGTTTTTTTGTTTTTATGTATCCCAATGCAGACACAAATACAACGAATACTATAAAACCTATACAGCAACCAACTACTAAGCTTAGTCTTCTAGTTAATATATCAGCGATTCCTAAGTAAGTATTAGAAAATGGGCTATCCAAGGCTGCTCCGAAAATTTCAATTGTACGCACACTCGTACATTTTGTCGTTAACGAATCGTTCATTGCAATTCGTACATGATTCATTTGTTGTTCATCTCCAAATAAAGTAATGCTTAAACTTTCTTTTGGTGGTGCAACTCTTGCGTCGGGTATCGTCGAGTCTGTAGAGAGTCCGAAATTTCCAACGGCTATAACGCAAACATTATAACGCGTTCCTGGTATTAAGTGATTTAATATTGTTGAACGCGCAGTACTATTAAGGATTTTGCCTCGTATCTGTGCATAGTAATAAAATATCAAGACATTGTTATTTTATTGAACAAACACCATAAATCATTTATACTTACGCTTTTTGGGTTTTGTTCTCCGAAATAAACCACTTGAAATCCATTTAAACCAGTTTGATTGCGGCTTTGCCACGAAACTATTACAGAGTATGTTTGTATATCTTGTATAGCAACTCGAATCACGATGGGCACATCACACAATTTCTGAGGTGTCAATTCTGTAAAACGGTGTCCTTGAAGTTCATCAGGATGTTCACAAAATAAATTTTTGCTACCTTTTCGAATTATTTTAAGGTGTTCCTGCATCCATTTCCACTGTTCTTGGGATTCACAATTACATGTTATAGGATTTTCTGAAACAAAATGTATTATCATCATCATCATCATTACAGCCCTTCACAAGTCCACTGCTGAACATAGGCCTCCCCCAAAGAATGCCACAAAGCACGGTCCTGAGCCACCTGCATCCATCGACTTCCTGCATGTCTTACCAGGTCGTCACTCCATCTCGTGGGGGGACGCCCTACACTTCGCCTACCGGTACGAGGCTGCCACTCGAGAACCTTTCTTCCCCATCGGTTGTCGGTTCTTCGAGCTATATGGCCGGCCCACTGCCACTTCAGCTTACTAATCCGTTGGGCTATGTCGGTCACTCTGGTTCTACTGCGGATATCCTCATTCCTAAGTTTATCACGCAGAGAAACTCCGAGCATAGCCCTCTCCATAGCTCGCTGAGCGACCTTGAGCTTCCTCATACGGCCAGCAGTGAAGGACCACGTCTCAGTTCCGTAAGTCATCACTGGCAACACGCACTGGTTGTACAATTTCGTTTTAAGGTTTTGAGGTATGTCTGACGAGAAGATGTGTCGTAGCTTCCCGAACGCTGCCCAGCCGAGTTGAATCCGTCGATTGACCTCTCGGTCGAAGTTGGACTTACCTAGTCGGACTATTTGTCCCAGGTAAACATACTCGTCAACAACTTCAAGCTTAGTGCTCCCAACAACTACCGGCATAGGTGTGACATGGACATTAAACATGATCTTTGTTTTGTCCATGTTCATCTTAAGACCTATCCGTTGGGAAACACTATTGAGGTCATTGAGCATAGTGCTTAGGTCCTCCAGCGATTCTGCCATAAGGACTATATCGTCGGCAAATCGAAGGTGAGTGATGTACTCGCCATTGATGTTGATACCGTATCCTTTCCAGTCCAGAAGCTTGAAAACGTCTTCCAATGCAGCGGTGAAGAGTTTCGGGGATATGACGTCACCCTGTCTTACACCTCTCTGCAATTGGATAGGTTTCGTATTCTGGTTCTGTACTCGGATAGCCATCGTAGCCCTATTGTACAAACACTTCAACACTTCGATATACCGACAGTCAACTTGGCACCGCTGAAGGGACTGCAGCACCGCCCAAATTTCGACGGAATCAAAGGCTTTCTCATAGTCCACATAGGCCAGACATAGTGGCAAATTGTACTCTTCGGACTTCTGTACAATTTGCCGAAGGGTATGTATGTGGTCTATGGTGCTAAAGCCTTTTCGGAAACCGGCTTGTTCGGGAGGCTGGAAGTCGTCAAAACTGCGCGCGAGACGATTCGTAATGACTCTCGAAAACAGCACGTAGACGCGGCTCAGAAGGGAAATCGGTCTGTAGTTCTTCAAGAGAGCGTTGTCACCTTTCTTGAAGAACAAGACCACCGCACTTCTGCTCCACGCCTCCGGTGTAATACCACCATGGAGGACAGAATTAAAGAGCTTCTGAAGGACTTCAAGTACCGGTCTTCCACCCGCTTTCAGAAGCTCCGCTGTAATTCCATCCTCGCCTGGGGCCTTACCGTTTTTAAGGTGCTGGAGAGCCATTCTAATCTCGCTCAGACTGACGTCCGGGATATCTTCGGAATAGTGTCGGATGAGACTCGCTCTTGGATCGTTACTCACACTTGCGTGTGGCTCCAACGATGATGTGTACAGCTGCCCATAGAACCTCTCAATCTCACTCAAAATCTCAGGTGTCCCGGAAACGATGCTGCCACATTCTGTCTTCAGCTTTGACAGTTGGCTCTTTCTGGCAGACAGATCTCTGGCAAAGACTTTGGAGCCTTGGTTCCGCTCGATCGCTTCTTCAATACGAGCTGTATTGAAGTTGCGTAAGTCCCGCCGCATGCATTTGGAGATCTGTCTGTTCAGATGCCTGTATGCTGTCAAGTCTGTTGAAGAATGTAGCTTCATCTCCCGTCTAACAGCCATGAGATTAAGAGTGTTATCGGAGAGTTTTTGTGTTCTTCTGCGGCGGGTCTTGCAGAACTTAGCTCCGACCGCATGGACAGTTTCCACGAGCTTGTCATTCATATCGTCCACTTCATTGCAGTCTTCTAGGCACTGAAAACGGTTTTGTAACTCGAGCTGAAAGGTTTCGGGACTTTGGAACAGAGCACGAGGGGGACGGAGCGTTGACTTCATTAGACGAGACCTCTCCAACTTAACGTTTAGGTTCAGTGTGCCTCTAACCATTCGGTGATCGCTACCAGTTTTCACCCTCGCGATCACGGAGACATCACTGAACAGTTGTCGTCTGGTCGTCATAATGAAGTCAATCTCATTTTTTGTCGAACCGTCGGGGCTCGACCAGGTCCACTTCCTGTGGGGCCGCTTCTGGAAGAAAGAGTTCATCATAAAGAGTCCCTCTTTCTCCATGAAGTCGGCCAGCTGCTGGCCCCTTGGGTTCCGTTGCCCTATTCCAAATTTCCCTACTTTCAGCTCACCGTTCTCTCTTGTGCCTAGTTTTGCATTGAATCAAATGTCATCAATGCAAATGTATTATGCTTAACAATTATTATTTGGAACTTTACAAGCTAAAGGTAATAAGTAATTTTTATTTTAAATTATATATTTTTCAAAACAGCAATCTTGCATATCTTACCTTCAAAGAGTAAAGATCTTATTTGAGTCTCTAAATCTATCAGCATTTTCATTGGGATGGTTTCAATATAATTGCGGCTTAAGTCTATTTGTGTAATCTTGTGCAAGTTATGGAATGCATCTGGTGATATAGCCGACAACCAATTTCCACTTAAATTTAATTCCACAAGACTTTGAAGGTTCCGAAAATTGTCTCTGGTTATCCTTGTTAAATGATTGAATGAAATATCTAACTTTTGCAAATTGTGTAAATCAGGCGTAAATTCCTCAAGCTCTCTTAATATATTTTGAGAGGTATTTAATACGCGTGCTGAATATAAACCTTGAAGTCTTTCTCGAGGAATATTTTCTAGTTTATTTTGACTTAAATCTAAGATTTCCAAAACATGTAGCTTTGAGAATGCTCCAGGGGATAATCGAATAATATTATTTTGCATTAATATCAGTTTCTTTAAAGATGGAAAGTTTTCAAAATCTTTACTTGTTATTATAGTCAAATTAGTGTTAGTTACAATTAATTCCTCAAGTAATGGAAATTCTTTTAATGGATATGTTTGTAATAACTGAACTAGTGAATTAGATGACATGTTTAAAATAGTAAGCACTGGTAATACAGTCTCAGACAGACCATTACTTGGAATGTGCTTAAAATGATTATGAGACAAATCAATTTCTTTTAAACCCAACGAATGTTGGAAAAAATTTGGTGGAAGAACGGTTAACATATTATTATTTAAATTTAATACTACCAAATTTTTCAATGCGGGAGAGTTGAAACCATTTAAAGTTGATATTCGATTTTTGCATAGATTTAATGTTCTTAAATTCTGTAGACCTACAAATTTAAAAAAATCGATACTCTGTAAATTATTAAGGCATAAATCTAATATTTCTAATGATGATACATTGAAAAGTGCTACATGTGGAAATTCGCCAAATTTATTGCCTTTTAAATTAAGTTCCTGTAAAATTGTTGTATAGGCAAAAACGTCCTTATGTAAATCCTTCAACATGTTAAAAGCCAAGTTAATTCTTAGTAAGTTTTGATTTTTATTAAATGTCGCTGGACGTAGCTGTGATATGTTTGACATTTCTATAGTCAGTGATTGTAGTGAAGGTAAATGTGAAAATGTTGTATTTTCTAGAACACTGAAATTGTTTTTAGAAATAACTAACGATTTTAAAACTGGTATTTGAACTTCAATCATATTTTGCCAAGTAAGGTAGTTATTGCTCAATTCTAGATCACTTAAGTTAGGCAAAGTTTTTAAGGAATCATTTTCAATTGTCGATATAGAATTATTATTAATTCTGAAGTATTTTAAAGGAAGTGAGGATAGATCTAAATCCAAGGCCATTATTTTGTTTTCAGATAGATCAACAACTTTCAATCTTATTAAGGATTGAAACGTGTCTTTCGAAATAAATGTTATTTCGTTATATTGTAAGTACAATTCTTCTAAGGATGTTAGGTTAAAAAATGTCTCATTATGTAAATTTGTGAGTTTGTTATAACTTAGATCTAAAAACCGAATCCTTTTTAAACGACTAAATGTTTTACTTTCAATATGCATGATAGAATTATTTTTTAAGTATAATCTCTGAATATTAATCAAATCATAGAAAAGATTAGCATTTAAATACTTTATATTATTTTGTGTAAGCCACATTATATGTACACTTGTTTGTCCTTCAAGGGAACTATTTTTTAATAAATTTAAAGCATTTGCACTTAGCTGTATAGACACTAGTGAAGAATTTCTGTTTGGAAAAATATCGCCAATTGTTGTTAGTAGGTTGCCTTGTAAATTAATATGTTGAAGTTTTCTAAGAGTTATAAATGCCTGCGATTCTATAGTATGAATAATGTTATTTTGTAAATGTAATTCTAATAATCCTGGTAATGGACTAAAAACATTGCGTTTGATGTATTTAATATTATTATTTTGTAATCGAATTTCCTTCAGTTCAATCAATTCACTAAAGATGAATTCATCTAGCTCAATGATTTCATTATTATCTAAACTTAAAGTTACTAGCTTAGTATTGTATTTGAAAATATTGTTTGGAATTTTTTTCAAGTAATTTGTTCCCATATGAAGTTGAGTAATATTTTTTAAAGAAGAAAAACAATTATGTTGCAATTTTTGTAAAGCATTATGCTCTAAATTAAGAACTGTTAGTCCTTGCGTATTTTGAAATGCATTAAATGGTATTTCTAGAATATTGTTTTCCGATAAAAATATTTCGGAAAGTTGTAAAAGGTTTGAAAATACTCCTTCAATTTGATGAATATGATTATAGCTTAAGTCAATTGTACGTATATTGAGGTTCCTCTGAAAGGTATTTCTTGCTAAATTAATGAGCTTGTTTCGGCTTAAATCTATGTTTTCTAAGTTCTTTAAGGGGAAAAATGCTTCTTCGTCAATTTCTTGTATATGATTACCGAAAAATGTTAATGTCTTTATATTTGGCATACAATGAAACCAATTTTTTAATATTTTAGTAAATAAGTTTGAGTTCAAATCTAAACTTATTAAATTAGTAATAGTGTTATTGAAATTATCTGGTATAAAACTTATTTTATTCCATGCAAGTTTTAAATAAGTTAGTCGTTTTAACTCTTCTAAAGACGTTAAAGGAAAAAAATTTAGAAAATTTTCGGTAAAATCTAACTCAGAAACAACGTCTTCTAAGTTTTGAAAAGCTTTATCTGCAATCGTTTTTAATTTATTTGATTTTAGGTTAATTTTTTTCAACTTAATATCTCTGAAAATGTACGATTCTATTTCTTTTATTTCGTTTAGTTGTAAATCAAGTACTTCAATTTTTTGAAGTTTAGAAAGAGATTCATGGGGAATTCTATTTAGTTTGCTTGAAATAATACTGAGAGTTTGTAATGAATTTTGAATAGGAAAAAAGGCATTGGAGCTAATTTTATTAATATTTGATTGTGATATTTGCAAGTTTATGATTTTGGTATGTGGTGGAAATATATCAGACTTCAACTCCGTTATAGAGCCCTCTAAGTCATAAATTGAAAGGGACTGAATAGTGCCTTTTATCTTCGATAAAACATTCTTGACAACAGCGGGAGTTGCACTTGGACACTCGAGGAATAATCCTGAAACATAAAATTAAATTAATGTCACTAAGTATTACACCATAGCCCCATTTGCATCAGTATTGATCACAGAATGTTAATAATGATGATATATAATCTTACAGACGCATTATCTACGTACCTTCTTTAAAATTGTAACAAGGACAAATTGGATTCTCTGCTAAGCTTGGACATTCAGATTGTTCTTCTCCTAGTAGTATCGGAATATGGGTGATAAAAAGAAATGCGTAAATTCCGAATTCCACTTTGAACAGCCGTGTATAAATGTCCATATTGAGTAGACGTCATGTCATCCACATGGTGCATTCGTCTTGTTATGCTTTTTCTAAAACAAATAGTTTGGTTATCTTGGTTATAACTTTATTAGGAAAATACGTAAAATTAATTTTATTCCATAGATAAAATCTAACAAAATATGAAAAGAAAAAAGTAACATGGCTTATTGTATAAATATGACGTGAACATGACATTTTTGTGTGATAAACTTTCTCTCTTTTTTTTGATAATATACTGTAATATTTCATACCTAAACATTTGTTAAATATTGTATCTGGTAGCACCACTTTATCATAATATTAATATGTAATAGATAAAATAATATTCACCTTAAATACTCTTTTAATCTAAATTGTAATATCGCTTATATTATTTAAATTTACCTGGTATACATTTGTTTTATTTTTACTATTTTTGCAGTCTAGATTAAAGAGCCACGAAGGAAGCAGCCTAGAGGCAAAAGTCGACCCAGATGCGTAGGTCATCCCAGCTTGGATCGCTCTCGGCAACTTTCTCCTAAACTTGCAACATCCTCCGTGCTCACACCCTCACCTCAGACCATCACCAAGCCCGCCCCTGTAGCCGGGGTCTCCGTGCAAGGTACAGGCCTCCCACGACTCCCGCGCCGGAATCCAACGCTTGGGTGAAACCTCCGGCACTTGTCATCTCACAGCCAATGCCATCTCTCCCCAAACCGAAATCCATTTCACAAGTTTCATTCTCCACTGACTTTTTACTAGACTGCAGCTTTATCACCAACATTAACGTTGCTCAACTATCTTTTTTAGCCCACAAACTTCGCAGATCCCCAGCCCCTCAGGAGAAGTTCAACGCCACGATTGAGCTTATAGGACTTATCGATGCAATCTGGTCTTTCGAGTGATCTTCACAGAATACCAGCGTAAAATAGTATCTCCAAGATGCTTTGTTTCGTATGGTGAGTGTAGAGAATCGGAGACCCACCCTAACTATTAAAAGCGAGGCATTCCATCCTAATCCTCACGGATGACATCGTATCTGCATTTTGATTCGTAGTTGAGGATAGATGTAGATGTTTATGGGCCACAGCAACCACTTATCATCAAATGGACTGTGTGCTCGTTTATTACCCTAATGATTAAAAAAAACATAACTACCTCATAAACAACATAATGGCAGTACTACAATTGTTTTGAACTAAACTACGCTCACCGACCATCGCGTTTTTCAACGCCAACGGACTCAAAAACCAAAAAGAAGAGGTCGAGCTCTTCCTGCGCAACCATTATGTAGACGTAATGCTATTGCAAAAAACTGTCTTAAAACGTAGGCATCGCGATCCTTATATCGCAAATTACAACTTAGTCAGAAATAATAGGTTGACTAGCGCTAAAAGCGGCACCCTGTTCTATTACAAAAGGTCCTTGCACTGCGTATCGATCGATTGACGACGATCTTAGAACTAGACTCGGACCACAGGCCGGTCTTGTTGCAGCTGGGCCAACCGGTGAAGTCCTCAAACTGCCTTCTGGCAGTTGACCCGAGCTATGGAAACAGTAACCTCCCGATCTCGCCTTTGATGATTCTGCCAAATCCGAATGCATCGAGGACAGTTAAGAGAGCCAGTGTACTCCTAAACTGTCTGCGAGTCTAGCGAACCTATAGATTCCGCTCACATTTCAGAGGTCGAAGCGGAGATCGAGCGTAAGACGTTACTACCACCTGCAGACAAACCTTAGACTTAGATCCTGTGACAGTCGACAAAGTCTCAGAAGTAATCAAAAATCTCAAAAACAAATCAGCACCCGGCCCTGATGGCAGGTTGCTGAAATTACCCTCAGCGCAACTTGTCTGCCTCTTCCATCTTCAACGCTCTTGCAGACAAGACTCTCCAGCTAGTCCTTAATACTTCTTGGAAAGAGGCGGACGTTATAGGTATTCCGGAACCAGGGAAACCGCGCAAATTGGGCTCCAGCTATAGACCCATTAGTCTCCTCAGCACACTGAGGAAAGTTTACGAGCGAATTATATTGAATATCCTTTGTAAGCACGCGTTCACTAACCAGCTTCTCCCAGACGAACAGTTCGTGACCACACTCGTGCACAAACCAGTTGCATCGCCTTACAGAGTACATTCTGAAAGACTTGTATTTCGTAGAAACTCTAATCACAAAACCACTCACTTCACTTCTTCTTCCTGGATGTCGCAAAAGCGATTGACAAAGTCTGGCACGAGGTCTTGCTTTACAAGCTGTATAAACTAAACGTGCCTGATAAGTTCACTCATATCATCAGAACTTTTCTTGCCAACCGCCACTTTCGCTATCGGATCTAGGAAACTTGCTCTTCCAAGTGCCTCCTCAAAGCCGGAGAACCTCAGATCTCCGATTTTTCCTCACTCCTTTTTCACTCCTCACGAGTGACATTCCGAAGGACCCAGTAGTTTATACTGATCTCTTCGCCGATGACATGGTATTATTTACAACAACAGAATCCTCACAAAGATGCCCCAAGCAGCCATCAACCGCTAAGGCGATCGGTTATTTTTATGGAGAGTCGAAATGAAAGCTGAGAAAAATGTAGCAATATATATTTCAGAGAAACCCCTCTCTTAATCGATAAAACCTAAATCCAAAAAATCGTCTCTGTAGACCCTGTTCGCTAAACTTCGGCAATCCAAATATTGCCGGCCCATTCATCACACACCAACACTATACACTTGCCTAGTGTCACAAACACCGCTAGGACAACGGACGGAATGTAGCGCGCCCGCAGACCCTTCCATAGTGCATAAGCACCGTATAACCGCGTGCCTGGGTGGTTCTTACTGCTCAAAATATCGAACGAAACGAGTTAGCCGTCAGAGCCGGGGCCTGCCACCCTTGTTTCGACAGGAGTTAGATAGTTTATCAATGTCACAATACTAATAGGGAATCACCGTTACGAAAGTAACGCATTGGACACAAAAGTTTCGTCACGCCTTTACAGCTTACAGTGAGCCCTGTGCGTGATCAAGCTGTAAGAGCCAAAAACCTAACAGCACTAACATCATTAGAAACCAAAACCAGAGGAAGACCTTGCAAGAATTGAAGCAGCAAAAAAAAACCAACTAGAAAATTTTTCTAAAATATATACACAATTAAAGAAAATCTAAGAATGCTCATTGTACCCAATCATTCTTAGCATTTAAATAATCTTCTTTTTTTTTCTAATAAAAAAATTCACTAGAATATTTTACATGTGCCTTGAATTTATGAATTTCAGTAGTACTATGGGAAATCTTGTTATAAACAGTTATACATCTACCCAAAAACGAGGCGCTAATTTTATGGAGCCTGTTCATATAGTACAGCAAGTTAAGATTTGTTACGTGTATTACAGCAGTCATGGACATCACTCATTTTATCAAAGGTAGGAAAATTGTTTATAACATACATAAAATTAGGTAGTACTAACTGTGAGGCAAAATTTTAATTATTAATTTGTTAAAAAGATCGTTGAGTGAGTCCCTCGGTTTGAAATTGTATAAGACAGGATTTACTATTTTCTGTGGTATAAATATATTATCAAATTTAGGTGCTGATCTCTACAAAAATAATCCATAGGATATACATACACACACTAAAATAAACCAGCTTTGCTGTATCTCTAACGGTTATCAGCCTTATTTCTTTAACTGCATATACTGCGAAATTGAGCCTCCTTGACAAGCTTTAATTATGAGCACTCTATTATAAACGAAGTGCAAGGTTTTACATCTATCAAAAAAAGTAAGATCATTGACGTTGACTTCAAAATAGTTATGGTCCCAACATTAATATTTGGGACTCACCTATAACTAACGATACTCTAGGAGACTCAACTCTATTTATAACTACTTTTTAGCAACCTGTATAACCGGGTATGATTTGATAAGATTTACTGTGTTTATTAAGACATCTTAATGCCTTAATTTGTTTAATACTTTATTATGATTAACGAAATTAAACGCTTAAGGCAAGTCACAAAAACACACTGTACGATAGTTGTAATTTTTTTATCTTTAGAGCAACTGTACTATCTGTTATGAAATAGCTTATTTAACGAGAAACTGATTTAAAATTTTCATTACAAACTTCTAATTTAAACGTAAATAAAAAAAATGTTTTTTTTCAGTAAAACACATATTTGGAATATCAGCTATTTTACTACAAAACGAAAAACAATTAAAAAATATCTGAATACAAAAACCAAAAATTACTTGACAACACTCGCCATGATTGTAATAAATCATTTTATTGAAGTAAAATATTTTTGCACCACACAATTCTACTGCCTCCTGAAAAATAATCAAACTACCACACGCTCGGTTTAAAAATTCTGTTTAAGCGACCAATATTAAATACCCGTTGTATTTAAAATAAAAGGAATTGCTAAATGCCACCAACTCTCTAGTCGTTATCAGCGAAATAATAAAATATAGTTAGTATAGTATACTTTTTTTTTAACAACTAAAGCTTGGGCGAATTTTGGTTTTTATCTGCTGAAGTATGACTTTAATAGGTGATATGGACCAAATCAAAATAAATGCTTAAGGCTTTTTGATACTGTAATAAATTAATGCTTTTGATACTGTCAAAGAGGAAAATGCTTAGTAGTCATTTTTACCATATTTATATTATTTTAAATAGTTAAAGTTCAGAAAATTTGCCGTCTTATGCAGTATTCTGCAATATATACCAAAAAGAAACAACAATATAGAAATAAAAATTTAGTTGACAATGACGTATGTAACTTATTTTAGCAAAATTTGGCTATTCCCGTTTTCTGTATAACTATGGTCATTTCTAATACTATCTTCAGAACAAAGACCTTAAACGTGGCAAATAGTAACACGCTGAGCAAGCGAGCTTGCAATAGAATAGTCTGTCATGACCTAATTGTTTTAATCACAGGTTTGCAGGTTTGGATATTTTTGGTCAATTTATTCTTAATTTGAATTTGTGACATCTGATGGGTGCAAAATTTTAAGAAATTA